ACAAAGTAAATTTCATGCAATTTGTTTCTAATTTGCTTCACTGATAAGACTTTAATTTAAATTCGGTTCTACTAAATATTATGTTCCTTCTGGTCTTCCAATTATCTGGAAAGGGTTGAAGTTTAGTAAAAGAAAAAAAGCACTTGTTCATTCCTGAGCATCATCACTAAGAAAGAGTCATTTTGTGCTGAGTATACCACCTCGAAGGACGTTTGGACACATAGGACATCACTACTACACAAACTGAAATTCAGGTGGAATATTGGGTCTAAAACCCTAATCTCCTAAGGAATTATTAGAGCACAAACACTGAGGGCTTTAATTGCTCTGTCCATCAAGAGACATCGCTGTGAAGTCATATTAGAACCAAATATTGCCATCTCCCCTCCCACTGTGTGTGTGTGTGTGTGTGTGTGTGTGTGTGTGTGTGTGTGTGTGTGTGCATTGTGCATTTAGAAGCCAAATGTCCATGTTGGATGTCTTCCTCCATCACTCTCTACCTAACTGTGTTGAAGGAGGAACTCTTGCTAACCTGAAGGTCACCGAATTGGTTAAACTGACTGGCTGGCAACCCCAGGGATCCTCCTGTCTCTACTCCCCAAGCACTGGCAATAAAGACACACCCCTTAGCACGGGGCTGTAGGGTTGAAATCAGGTCCTCATACCTATCCAGGAAGCATTTGACCAGCTGACCCATCTCCCCAGGCCCGCCGCAACTCCCTTCTTGAGAGAGATTACTTTCTTTATGTGATCCTAGTCACCAGCCATCAGACTACATACATCCAAAATCGTTCCATACTATATTTTTAGAACAACGCTGGACTCTATGTGTGGTGCAAAAGTATGTAAATGGAGAAACGTCCCTATGGAAATTATAAACCATTTAAGGAATGGGTTTATGAGGTTAACACTAAACAACATCGTGATAGCTATTAATACTAGATGTGTTAGATGCTGCTAGGAGCTGTTTATAAACATTAAAGGACTGTCTTTACACCTCATCATATTTTCTCAAAACAGGCTCAAGTCTGGTGCTGTTTTCCCTGCGTTTTAAACGAAGAAAGTCTAGTGGCTAAGGCAGTGTAAACACTGTAAGTTGGGATGATTGCAAAGCCCACCCTCTGCCACTGAAATACTTGCATTCTCACAGGCAAAAGCTAAGAATGAAGGTTACATATTGACCGGAGGACATTGGAGCAGGTGCCCCGAGGAAGGCAATGCTCCGGTGTAGCTTTAAAGAATGATTAGTCGTTAAATACGCAAACCGAAAGGGGCTAGATAGTCTAAATACCAAGTTATATAAACATTGTGTCAAGGTCAGGAGGCAAGAATAACAGGCATGATCAGGGAGACAAGAACCAAGGGGGCGTGGTGTGTTCCAACCTGGGCATGCATCTGAAGGAAAGTGTTCTAATTTCAAACACATTCACGTCGACATACAAATGTGTCTCAGCCCACCTAGCGCCCAACTCGATAATGTCAACTTTAATTTGTAACAAAGGTCTTGGGAGCCCTGTGGAAATGGGATGTGTTTTATAAAGCTATTGTAAGCATTAAGGGTAGAAGAGAGGAAGGAATTAGATTTCAGCCTAGATTAGCAAACCTTATTTTATTCATAAAAACCAAGGCCCCAAGAAAACGTCTTGATTTATAACTGCTCAAAGTAATCCATGTGTCTGGGGTCTATGCACCAGCTGGTACCTGCTGTCACCATGCCTGTGTAGCACCGACTTACAGGATGAGATCTAAGCAGGTAGATGACCGGATTTTGTCCCAGATAGCAAGAAAGGAGCCTCCAAATCTTCAGGCTCATGTTGCTTTCTCATCTGCTTCCTTCATCTTGGTGTGCCTGCCCCTCATCTACCACACCCTCTCTCACCCTTTTCCACCAATGCTACTCCAGTGTTACTCTTCTGGTTCTTCTGATCTGACTCAAGCGCAAGCATTCGTTCCCCAGGAGAGAACAACAAAAGCCCACTCGTGTTGAGGACGCAGCATGCAATAACTTTTCAAAAGAGATGAGTTCCAAGGAAATGGCATGGCCAGGAGTTGGCTCAGCAGGTAAAGGCTCTTGATGCAAACCATATCCCAGGAACCTGCATGGTGAGAGGAGAGACCCGATTCCCACAAGTTGTCCTCTGTCCTCACACCCATACCATAGAATGTATATGCGTAAATATATTCAATTTCTCTCTCTCTCTCTCTCTCTCTCTCTCTCTCTCTCTCTCTCTCTCTCTCCCCTTTCTCTCTCCATAATTTTTTTAAAAATATTTTTAAAAGAAACAAAGCAAAGTACAACAAGGGTCTACCTAAAGAAATCTCTCAAACAAAGATATTAAAATATAGTCATTGTGTTCAAGTAAATAAACCTATGGCATTTGAATTTTCTAAAGACATATATATTTATAATCAAATCTCCAGTACAAATTATAATAAAAACATTGTCTTTTCCCATTTCCTTTTGTGGCCAGAAATTTAAGCATTTAAAACCATGTATATATGGAAACTGTTTATGACTAATAAAAAGCTAATCCCTCAAAAAAAAGGTATATATACGAGAGAATTAATATACACAAATATTTCTGCTAGCATTTGCACACAAGAAAGTAAGGGCTAACTGCATTTAAAAGGAAGACAAAGCACGTTAGTTTTAGTGGCCCGCAGGCTGAGGCCGAGATCGTGGGCAGGTTTCTTTGCTCGTGGCAACAATGGCAGCAGTAATACCTCGCGAATACTGCCATGGTCAGATACCACAAGAACGGAAGGGTACGTTAGTGGAGGCAGCCACAGGCCCTGCCCTCCAGCAGCCACGGGCCCTGCCCTCCGGCGGCCACAGGCCCTGCCCTCCGGCAGCCACAGGCCCTGCTCCAACAAAGACCAGTGAGTACCATGGGATCAGAAAACCGGTCTCCACGAAGTCTCTGCATGAAGAATCCAGCCTTTATATCAAGGAAGTTGTCTTGCTGAATTAGCAATTTTACAGAGATCTGAATCTCTCCCAGTAAGACGAAAAAGAACAAAAAAAAACTACTTTTCACTGTGTGCTTAATAGATTTTTTTTCTGAGCTTTAAAGGAACAGGATGGAAGATAAGGCCAAATCCCACCCAAATCAAAGAGCAGCTGATGCCCTGGCCCTTTAAGATCTGCCCGGCCAGGCAATGCTGACTCCAGGTCTGGAGTCAGGCTGACTTGGGCCTGCAATCCAGCTTCTTGCCTTGGCGTAACCATCTCAGGAGGGTCACAGAACTCTTTGGCGTTCTCACCTACAAACGGCACTGACAGAACTGAGTGTACTGTACTGCCGTGACATTTGGTGACTTCCTTCATAAACGCTCCAGTCCTACTATGTGTCACAGAGCGATGGCTTAGACAGGAGCGTACATGACACGCACACACTTGTGGGCACTCCACGTGGTCCTTGTCTCCTCTCCTCACGCGTCTGTCCTCCGGATCATCCTCTCAGAGCTCTCCCCTTGGCCTGAAGCACTTCAATTAGCTAATGGAAGAATCTAATCACGGGAAATGTGCTAATGAGGAGGGCCCAGTCAAGACGGTAGTGACTACTGCCTGCCAATTCAAACACCCCCTGATGGTAAAATGTGATCTTGGAAACAGAACTTGACTGGAGGCTGTGTAGTCCAGAGCGGTGGTCCATGGTGTGAATGCTGAGCAGCAGCGTCGGGGAATTCACTGTGGTAGCTCTCAGTAACGCTGACACCCGTGTTATGTCTGCTAACACCCACTTAACTGAACAGCATGTTCTGTTTCTGTGTGAAGTCTGTGTCAAGATAGTCCATCGGCCCTAGTCCAGAACACCCTCTAAAACAAATATAACTCTTACAGAAATAAGGCCACACAAAGGTTAAATGCCCAATTTTGAAGAGAAACTGTTTTACGTCTATGATAGAGCAAGAACCCAGAACACAATCCAATTCTCTTCTTGGGCTAATGTTTCTAAGCCGTACCGTACGGACTTAATGCAGTTCAACAAAAATACCGCTTTGAAAACTCCACACACAAAGGGCCCCAAACTTGTGAATCAGGCAACAGTGAGATAATCACGCTCTCTGACAGACACGCTAACGCAGAAGATTCTTAAATGCCGGGCCATCCTTTTTTCCATGACTCTAGACACCAGCTATCACTGAACATGTTCTCAGTTTTCAGGCAACCTAATTTAAACGGCGAATGGTCTGCTCTAACCCAAATAGGCCTGGCAGCAAAGTTAAAGCTTGACGACCCTGACACCTAGTGGCCATACGGAACCTGCAGCCGACTCAGCCTGAAGAGAACGGCCAGCCTCTGCCACAGTGGCTGTCACCGCCACACGTGGCATGTATCATTGTGAATCCTGGGTGCGGACAGTACCAATTCTAACAGCAAACTTGCAAAGGTTTGATTCATCTCTGGGATCATCTTGAGACTATGCAAGTGGGCCAAAAGGCATGCAATATTTGTTAGGAATATTTCCCTTTAACGTTCCACATTTAACAAGGTTTTACTCATCTTCAAACATAAAAATAAAATAAAATAAACCACAAAGCTGAAGGTCAATTGCTATTGTTGAAATTTTCAGATGCTTTTTCCTCACTCTGTATGTTCATCCACACCCTTTTCCTGGTCTTGGGGTGGGTTTTTGATTCCCCCTTGGATATACTCTGCCAAATCCAAAAGCCATGTGGCCAAACCACCATAGAAGTTCCCTTTGTGCTGCTGAGACGTCACTACCAAAGGGTAGTCAGACCTTCACAAGGCAGCAGGAGTCCTCTTTGGAAGAAATAAAAGGACATGTGCAGAAACCCCTAAGTACCCATCTAAGAGCCAGGACCACACAGAACACTGTGGGTAGCCAGATGAACAGAGAGAGATCAGCACAAGCTATTTCTGCCCCAATCATTAGAAAATAAGTCTCCCCAACCTGCCTGCACCTCTGACAGGTGGGACAGCAGGAAGCCTGAATTGTTCACCTTCTCCACCAGAGGAGAGCCCCGAATCCTACCTGCTGACGTTTAAAGGCTAAATAATCCAGGGTTTCCAGCTCCTTCCCAAGCTTCTGGTAGGTCTTCTGGAGGTCAGATTTGTTGGAAACATTTTTGAGAGACTCAAATGTTCTTTGGAACTGAAAATGAAAAGAAAAGCAGATTATAACTGTGACAAATTTTTGTCAAATTCCCAGCTCACTAACAGAGTCAATAATGTGCTTCAGTTTTACCTGCCATAATTCAGAGGCAACAAATGCTAGCTAATTATCTTTCAGTGGACTGATTAGTGGTGATTATGAAGAGGTAAAAACTGTATGTGTGCAACCAATATTACATATGAATGAGAAGTCCATTTGATCCTCATTCTAACAAAAAGAGCATATGTCATTCAGAGTAAAAGAACTTTCATGCTTTAGGACGCCCTGGGAAAAAATGAGACTTAATGTATGATTTTAAGTCTAACAAAAAAAAACATTATACGGTTCTTAGGGCTGGGAGATGTTTCAGTCAGCAAAGTGCTTACTATGCAAGCTTGAGAACCTGAGTCTGAAAACCCGCCACCTATGGAAAAGCCAGGTGTGGCTGTTCATGTCTGTAATCCCAACACTGGAGAACATAGTCAGGACAATCACCCAAGCCCGATGGCCGGCCAGCCTAACCAATAGCAAGCTTCACTACCACTTTATTAAGCCAACATGATCCCTAATTACATTCTAAATATTTGTCCATACACACACAGATAAGTGTAGTCCTCACCCCTCATCAAGGAAACTTCTCCTTGTATCAGATGGAGATCGTTACAGAAGCCCACGCCTGATCAAAATATAGAGCTGTGATATCCAGTCCCATGTGATGTCATGAGACAGGATAAAAAGATTTTATAGGTTATAATTAAGTTCCCAATGATGTGATTGGATTCTTGGTGTATTAAACTCCAAGGAATAAGTCCTATTAGAATGGCTTTCTACTGAATCATGTCCTCCATTTCATAAAGGCAACATGCTTATCTCAATCCATGGTAAAGTGCTGTGGATATTGCTCTGTATGCTGTGAATGTGTTGCTCTGATTGGTTAATAAATAAAGTGCTGATTGGCCAGTAGCCAGGCAGGAAGTATAGGTGGGACAGAGAGAGAGAGGGAATTTCTGGGAACAGGAAGGCTGAGTCAGGAGTTGCCAGCCAGACACAGAGGAAGCAAGATGTAAAAGTACCGGTAAGCCACAAGCCACATGGCAACTTACAGATTAATAGAAATGGGTTAATTTAAGGTATAGAAACTAGATAGCAAGAAGCCTGCCACAGCCATACAGTTTATAAGTAATATAAGTCTCTGTGTGTTTACTTGGGTCTGAGCAGCTGCAGGAGCCAGGTGGACACAGGAAAACTTCAACTACAGTGAAGAGAAAATTGAAATGCTTCCATAGAAGGACAACAAATTAATCCAACAAAATATCACTTAACACCTACTCTCATCAAGATGCTATGAATATAAAATCTATTTCCTTCCCTGAAGGAACTTAAAGGTTATAGGGGAAAGTAGACATGAAACCTTTAAATGGGAAGGGCATTGACATTTACCAAGTGCGTGTTCAGCCTCGGGTATGTTATACCTTCCAACTGAACTCTCGCATCAATAATAGGAGTACCTATTCCATTCCCATTCTCAAGTGAGTAAACTGGGTCTCAGAAAGCTTGAAGGACTTTCCTCCAGTGTCTGATCTTTCTATAGAAAACAGGGTGCAAACGAGAGGAAAGAGGAGCATGCAGTGACCCTTTTAAAGCTCACAGAGAGGGACTGAGGGGCTCACATGACACAGAAGTCATGAGGTAACCTGAGTTGGACCACAGAGAACATGCAATTTCAGAGTCCTAGGGATGAACCAACTCTACTCCTCAGTTTATCTGCTTTAACTTTTTATTGATGTTTATTACTCATTTACTTTCTGTGTACGTGTGTAGGCACACATGTGAAATGACACACATGTGAAAGTCAGGGAGACTCATGAGACTCAGTTCTCTCCTTCAGCTTCTCTTCCACCCCAGGGATGGAACTCAGGGTGCCAGGCTTGGCAGCAGGCACCTTTGCCCGCTGAACCATCCCACCAGGTCCTCTATCCGTCAGTCTAAACACATCCAGAATCTGTCCATTTTCCCACTCTTGTAACACAAAAACCAATTTCTTTTCAAAGTAATTTTAATAACCTTTACATTAAATATCTATTTTGTCATGTGATCTTTTCTGTGCCTTGGCCATTTTTTTGGTCTCTTCTCTGTATGTTTAAATCAAAGTCACACCAGATCCAAGACTCTAAACAATGTATTTTCTCTATGAATCAATTACTATAAGCTTTTTACCAAAAGTTACACTAAATTTTAAAATGTTCTTTATGCCCTACATTTTCTCTTCTCTGAAAAATAGTCTTTCTAATTAATGATGCCATCATGTTCTCGTTTATCTATGTAAACCTTATGCAACTCCAGGGAACTTCAAAATAAGAAACACACAAAAACAGTATTTCCAGGTAATACATTCATGGCCAAAGAAGAAAGTGAGAAAACCCAGTAATGCCCCATCATCTAGAGAGTGCTTTAACTGAAGGTCAGCGTTTGCATAATGTGGAGACTTTAGCTTGCGTTTCCATCATCGGGACTCGCCTCCTCCATTTATCAATACTAAAGTGCTCTGGGTCCCTGAAGACTGCCATGACTACACTCTTAACTAGATTGCTCCTACTTACAAATAGTCATCATGGAGATGTTGAATAAAATTTACAACATAGTGTTAGTTGGATTTCTGTAATGTATTTTGCACCCTCGCCCATTACCCATATGTATATAACTAGGGTGCTATATACTAAAAGCAATACTTTCACTTTGCTGATAAAGCTGAGGCCCAGGGGATAAAGATGGACCTGGTGAAGCTCAGCTGTGCTCACAAAGACTGACTATTGACTTGGTTTGAGTACTCTTCTTTCATCTAGGTACTTGGCCATCCAAAGGGACCTTTGAAATTATCTACAGTAGCAGTACGCTGTCGTTTCGTTGTACTGTCTCTCAAAATAAATGAAAATTTTTTCAGTTGGAAATAATTTGGGAAAGGAAGAACAATTAAAAAGATATTAATATTCCTGGAATTTACATGTTTGAAATGTTAAGGGGAAATTTAACTGAGCCAAGAATCCCAAAATAATTTGTCAATCTTTAAATTCACCCTGTTTCTTGTTTTAGCTCATCACAAACCAAATTCAAACCCTAAAAAAAAATCAGCAAATCAATTGGAAATAAAAACAAATGTAGGTATTTTCTAAAACTGTAGAGGTTGGATATTAAAGTGATCTCTGAGCTGAGAAACAAATCCAATTTTGTCCTATTTGACGACCTTATCATATATCAAAGGGCATACAAGAGTAAAGAGATGCAGACAATATCCCTATACCAATACCCAGAGTACAAGCAGGCATTATGAACACTCCCACAGTGTGCTCTTCCATCACACTGTCTCGGTTCAGAAATAATAATAATAGCAATCCATCAAACAAAACAGCCGAGGCCATTCTTGTTCATCTCCCATTAAAATAACTGAAAATTTGTCTCACAAGAAAAAAGAAGCATGAAATAGGCAACAGGAAAGTATCTGGTTTGACTCAGCACTCCCTCTCTCCCAAAATACATCTATTCTCCTTTTCCCTGACAATACATATTTAAATAAATCTAAGCCAATGTTCTGTACAAACTACATAGCCAATCAGTCTGTAAAAAAATTATGTATATTCATGGAAAAAATTTGAGAAGGAGGATGAGAAGGAATTGGCTGAAGCTGCAAGAAAAAAGAGACACCAGGACTCAGGCAAGTCCTGCTTCCCTCGGCCCTGGCTCTCCTAGGATTGGTTGATTCAAATAACCAGGACTCCAACAGCCCACCTACCACCTGTGCCCCATAAGAAGACACCCAGTAGTGCTACCCAAGCAAGGGCAACTCAGCAGCTATCACTTTTTTCTTATTTAACATTGTACACGTTTGTACAAAATTCTAGGCACTGCTGTAGCATAAAAAGAACCCCCAGATTTCTCTCAGGAGGAAGGGGGGGATGTCAGACACTTTCCTGAAGTAGTAAAGATAAAATGGGAGGAGAAGACAAAAGCAAACCCTTGTCTACTGTCCTCCAAATCAGGTCAAGAAACAAAAACTGTGGCGATATTTTATTTGTGATAAAATGTGATATTTTATTTGTATGTTAATAAATAAAGTTGCCTGGAGATCAGAAGTTAAACAGCCATTAAGCAGAAGTCCGGCGGTGGTAGCACACACCCTTAATCTGATCACATGGCAGGCAGAGTCTCTATGTGGTCAAGGACACAGCCAAGCGTGGTGACACGAGCCTTTAATCCCAGTACCAACCATAGAGACCTGGAGGTCTGTGTAGACAGGCAGTGACGAGGAAGTCATGTGTCTGGGTTTAGAGCCAATGAGAAGGCAGAACAGGAAAGCAATAAAAACACAAGTCACACAGAAAGAAGTTCTCTCTGTGGAAGCTACTGCTGGTGGTAAGCTAAAGCTAGTCATGGCTATTGCTCTGATCTCTTTGGCTATTACCTCTGTATTTGGCTCTGTGTTTCTTATTTACTAAGACTGTTTAGAATTTTGTCTACATTTTAGAATTTCATCCACAAAAACTATAGGTCACCTTTTCAGAAATAAGTCTGTGTACTCAGTAGAGAACTGGATGTTTTAAGTTAATTCCCTCTACATAAAAAGAAATACATAATAGTTGTGTGCATTTATGTTTATGTTGACTATAACTCTCTTCTTGAGGAGGGCAGAGACCACAGTAAGGAAAAACTTTGAAGAGTAGTTTAAAGGTCTGGAGAGATGGCCCAGAACTCACACTAGGCAGCTCACGTATACCTTTAACTCTAGTTCCAGGAGATCTAATGCCCTCTTCTGGCCTCTGTGGGCACTGCATTCACATGGCACATACCCCCTCATAAACAGACACACTTGTACATATAATAAAAAGTAAAACAAAATCTTTTGAAAAAGAAATTTGAGGTGAATGGAGGAAGTCGAGTTAGAAAAGTTATAACTGAAGGGCTCTAGCAGGCCCAGGCTTGGGAAATATGGTGCTGACAGGCCTTGC